GCCACTTTCGTGTGGGGCGAAGCTCCGCATAGCCACTGGGGCCTTCGGTGGAGCTCCCTATGGGGCCACGAAACGTGTGAGGGGTGTGCCAGAATGGGGGGGTGGAACCGCATGCGGGCGCAGCCACTGGGGCCTTCGGTGGAGCTCCCTATGGGGCCACGAAACGTGTGAGGGTGTGCCAGAATGGGGGGTGGAACCGCATGCGGGCGCAGCCACTGGGGCCTTCGGTGGAGCTCCCTATGGGGCCACGAAACGTGTGAGGGGTGTGCCAGAATGGGGGGTGGAACCGCATGCGGGCGCAGCCACTGGGGCCTTCGGTGGAGCTCCCTATGGGGCCACGAAACGTGTGAGGGGTGTGCCAGAATGGGGGGTGGAACCGCATGCGGGCGCAGCCACTGGGGCCTTCGGTGGAGCTCCCTATGGGGCCACGAAACGTGTGAGGGGTGTGCCAGAATGGGGGGTGGAACCGCATGCGGGCGCAGCCACTGGGGCCTTCGGTGGAGCTCCCTATGGGGCCACGAAACGTGTGAGGGGTGTGCCAGAATGGGGGGTGGAACCGCATGCGGGCGCAGCCACTGGGGCCTTCGGTGGAGCTCCCTATGGGGCCACGAAACGTGTGAGGGGTGTGCCAGAATGGGGGGTGGAACCGCATGCGGGCGCAGCCACTGGGGCCTTCGGTGGAGCTCCCTATGGGGCCACGAAACGTGTGAGGGGTGTGCCAGAATGGGGGGTGGAACCGCATGCGGGCGCAGCCACTGGGGCCTTCGGTGGAGCTCCCTATGGGGCCACGAAACGTGTGAGGGGTGTGCCAGAATGGGGGGTGGAACCGCATGCGGGCGCAGCCACTGGGGCCTTCGGTGGAGCTCCCTATGGGGCCACGAAACGTGTGAGGGGTGTGCCAGAATGGGGGGTGGAACCGCATGCGGGCGCAGCCACTGGGGCCTTCGGTGGAGCTCCCTATGGGGCCACGAAACGTGTGAGGGGTGTGCCAGAATGGGGGTGGACCGCATGCGGGCGCAGGGGGGTGGAGGAGGTGAGGGAAATGGAGAGAGGAGGAGGAGGAGGAGGAGGAGGAGGAAGGAGGACGCGGGGCGACGTCTCTTCAAAACGAGGACCCAACACCACAGGATGGTTGGGAACAATTATTTTGGCGAAGGACCCAACCATGTGCAGTTGTGAATATCGCATTGCGGGTGCCGCTTTCGGTGGGGCTCCCTGTGGGGCCACGAAACGCTGTGCTGGGTGGGGGTGACGCATGCGGGCGGCACCACTGGGGCCGTCCCTGTGGGGCCACGAAACGCTGTACTGGGCGGGGGTGGCGCATGCGGGCGGCACCACTGGGGCCGTCGGTGGAGCTCCCTGTGGGGCCACGAAGCGCTGTGCTGGGTGGGGGTGGCGCATGCGGGCGGCACCACTGGGGCATTCGGTGGAGCTCCCTGTGGGGCCACGAAATGCTGTGCTGGGGTGGGGGTGACGCATGCGGGCGGCACCACTGGGGCCTTCGGTGGAGGTCCATGTGGGGCCACGAAATGCTGTGTTTGGTGGAGGTGCCGAAATGAGTGTGCGGGACGCATGCGAGCGGTGGCACTGGGGCCTTCGGTGGAGCTCCCTATGGGGCCACGAAACGTGTGAGGGGTGTGCCGGAATGGGTGTGGCTGACGCATGCGGGCTGGGGCCACGAAACGTGTGAGGGGTGTGCCGAATTGGATGTGGCTGACGCATGCGGGCGGCGGCACTGCGGCCTTCGGTGGAGCTCCCTATGGGGCCACGAAAGCGTGTGAGGGGTGTGCCGAATTGGGTGTGGCTGACGCATGCGGGCGGCAGCACTGGGGCCTTCGGTGGAGCTCCCTATGGGGCCACGAAACGTGTGAGGGGTGTGCCGAACTGGGTGTGGCTGGCGCATGCGGGCGGCGGCACTGGGGCCTTCGGTGGAGCTCCCTATGGGGCCACGAAACGTGTGAGGGGTGTGCCGAATTGGGTGTGGCTGACGCATGCGGGCGGCGGCACTGGGGCCTTCGGTGGAGCTCCCTATGGGGCCACGAAACGTGTGAGGGGTGTGCGAATTGGGTGTGGCTGACGCATGCGGGCGGCGGCACTGGGGCCTTCGGTGGAGCTCCCTATGGGGCCACGAAACGTGTGAGGGGTGTGCCGAACTGGGTGTGGCTGACGCATGCGGGCGGCAGCACTGGGGCCTTCGGTGGAGCTCCCTATGGGGCCACGAAACGTGTGAGGGGTGTGCCGAATTGGGTGTGGCTGACGCATGCGGGCGGCGCACTGGGGCCTTCGGTGGAGCTCCCTATGGGGCCACGAAACGTGTGAGGGGTGTGCCGAATTGGGTGTGGCTGACGCATGCGGGCGGCAGCACTGGGGCCTTCGGTGGAGCTCCCTATGGGGCCACGAAACGTGTTGGGTGTGGCTGACGCATGCGGGCGGCACCACTGGGGCCTTCGGTGGAGCTCCCTATGGGGCCACGAAACGTGTGAGGGGTGTGCCGAATTGGGCGTGGCTGACGCATGCGGGTGGCGGCACTGGGGCCTTCGGTGGAGCTCCCTATGGGGCCACGAAGCGTGTGAGGGGTGTGCCGAACTGGGTGTGGCTGACGCATGCGGGCGGCAGCACTGGGGCCTTCGGTGGAGCTCCCTATGAAGCCACGAAGCGTGTGAGGGGTATGCCGAATTGGGTGTGGCTGACGCATGCGGGCGGCAGCACTGGGGCCTTCGGTGGAGCTCCCTATGGGGCCACGAAGCGTGTGAGAGGTGTGACGATGATGGTGATGATGACGATGATGCTGGGTGATGACGATGATGATGATGATGATGATGATGATGATGATGATGATGATGATGATGATGATGACGATGATGACGATGATGATGATGATGATGCTGATGGGAGGAGGGAGGAGGGGGAAGAGGAGGAGAGGAGAGGAGGAGAGGAGGAGAGGAACGCGGGGCACCGTCTCTTCAAAACGAGGACCCAACACCACAGGATGGTTGGAAATCAATCAGGGCTATAGGGCTAGGGGGCTATAGGGCTATAGGGCTATTGAGCTATAAGGCTAAAGAGCTATAGGGCTAAAGAGTTATAGGGCTATAGGGCTATAGGGCTTAGGGCTATAGGGCACCCCCGGGCCCCCCCCGGCACCCAAGGGCACGCCCGGGCACCCGGGCACCTGGGCGTGCAGCGAAAACACACCACAACACACCACCACACCACGCCACACCCACAGGGGGGGGGCGGGGGGACACGCATGTACGCGCGCACGCACGCGCGCAGACCACCACACCACCACATCACGCCACACCCACAGGGGGGGGGGGGCGGGGGGACACGCATGTACGCACGCACGCACGTGCGCAAATCACCACACCACACCACAACACACCACAGGGGGAGGGGGGGGGGGCACCCATCATGGAGGGGGGGCTGGACACCATGCCATCTGGTGGGAGGAGGGGGGGAGGGCAGACCCTAGGCCATATATACGTGACTGGATGCCCCACCCGAAGGTTTCTCTGTAGGCGGAAGAGTCCGCAACCAATTTCGAATGCGCAAGGAACCCATAGTTTCTCCCGAGAACAAACGCTCACCCTCTATGCTGCACTGCAGCCTTGCATGCGGGACCGAGCCCATGCGTTCACCTGTATCGAGGGCTGCCCCGCCAAGACTTGCCAGAAGTTGAGGCATCTCGCTAACACCTGGGCGCAAGGCGACACCGTCCTCTTGAATGCCCGACCGCCATCGGAAGACAATTGAGACATGCGTGTAAAGTTACATGCAGACGAGAACAACCATCGCGTACGCGCCTCTGTGCACATTACGCGCGTACCGAACGTGGTGCGCGCACCTGCCAAGACTGACTGGGTACACTCCAACTCGGGACAACAAACAGAGCAGTCTGATGGATACGGCTGGGTTAGATGAGCGCGTTCCACTACTTGCAAAGTGACTACTCGCAAATTGCCTGGATTCCCCGCGGAGGATCTACCATACATTACATCAAAGCAGACATGTGTTTTTCTGACGTTTGCGAGTAGGCACTTTGCGAGTAGTGGAACGCGCTCGGTGATGGGTGGCAGATGCGAGGTGGCTGTGAGGCGGCTTTGGTGGATTAGGGCCGGGGGGCTCGGGGCGAGCGGTGGCCCTGAGGAGCTGCGGAATGCCTTGCAGACGAGACAGCTGCCTGCGGGTCGCGCGCCTATCGTGCACCTCTGGGGAGGCTTCGGGACAGGCGGCGAACACGGTCTGCACTGGTGCACTGTTCGGCTCCAGTCGAATGCAGTACTACTCCGGCGCTTCAAGATAATCTTGGATCTGTGTCTAGTCGTCGGCCGAGAACGCTCTCTCACTCTCCCTCCCTCACTCCCTCCCTCTCTCTCGCTCTCTCGCTCTCTCTCTGTCTTCGTTCCTCTCTTTCTCTCCCTCTCTCTCCCTATCCCGTTCTCTCTGATTTTCTGTCGATCTCCTTCTCCCTCTCCCTCTCAGGCTCCCTCTCCCTCTCTCTCTCTCTCCCCCTCTGCACACACACACGCACGCATCTGCAGTCTATCCGAGCAGTGGTAACTCCAAGAGGTCCTCCAAAACATCACGACAACCATCTCGCACAGTTCACACTGTGAGGTGACCGCTGCACATGGACACCCCTTGCCCAGGCTGGGGCCCTCGATTGAAGCCTGGCAACGAGAGCGGAACAGATCCACAACGAGTGCAGACTGAAGTTGCTGACATTGCATGTGCGATGAACTTGTTTGGTCGAATTCCGGCCTTCTGTTGCTGAGCGGTGCAGCGGCGCGAGCTCCATGTGGCCGCGCCGCGGGCAAAGCGCTTCAAACAAAAAAACATCCCACTGGCACATGCCAATCAAAAGTCTGTGGGTTGGACTGGGGGAGCACAATGACCCAACGGTCACTCTCGACATCCTTTCAACATGAACAAAAAGACTAGCTGGAAAGGCTGCTTTCCAAGATCCTACGCAGGCATCGGATGCGTTCGCATCGCTCTCAACTCAGCGTCCCCAATGCCGCACTGTACAACATATCACTGTAACGCTCGAACTCCTCAGGAGACACGAAGAATTTCCAGTCAAGCATTCTACAAAATTCTCGCTCCAAGAAAGCAAATTCATCAGGAGCAAGACCGCCCAGCTCAGAGTAATATGCATTCGTGCAGAGGGCCTCGTCGTCGTGGAACTTCGAGGCCAGCACGAGAGCGACCAGCGCTGACCTCACGGCCAGACCACTTCGAATCTGCACGCTGCGACTGTGTGCCACGCATGAAGCGCGCAGAGAGTGACAAATCCCCAGAGATCTGATGTCGTGAGTTTTTCAATACGGGGTCCCCAAAGTCTCGACCAATTCCCGCCCGACCGGTTATCATCCTGAATCATTGTTTGACAGTCCCGGGGCCCGGCGCGGGCCCCTAGAGGCCAGAAATTTCCAAAAAACAACTCCACCTTGTTTTTTTCAATGCGTTGGATCTCCGTGTCCCTGCTTCCATCGAGAACGGCAGCCGTCGGAAGCGATCGAGAATGCTGGGAGGACTCTCCTCGAACGTCATTCGCGAAGGGGCGCGACAGCACGCGGGAGCCAACCAGGCTCTACACGACCCGAGGGCATCCAGCAAATATAAATGCAGCGCGCGTGCACATGCACACTGTAACCGCAGTTGGCGAAAAAAAAGGCCATCCACATACATTGCTTCGAGGATGCCGCCCCCAGACCCCCCATGTCAATGTTGCGCTCGCGGTCGCTATCGGGTTGCAAGCATCGGCATTGTAAAAACGCCCCAACTACACCACCAAGGCAACCCCGTTTTCAACATTGAGATTGGGGGGCACGGGGTTTTGAACACAGCAGCGTTGTCCATTATTCGGGGGCGCGCAAACATGGATTAGCGCTCCATAGATTTGGCGCGCGGTCGCCAAATCCATGGATCGGGGGAGGTGCCCTCCCCAAAGTGCGGCCGGTGCCGCCTCGTTCGGCGGCGGAAATCCGCGATTTCCCATGGAAATGGGACCCGTTGCTAATCCACGCGCCCTTGATCCGTGTTTGCGATGGCCTGAATTACGCCTGGTGTGCGTTTTGAACGCCAGCGGCAGAATTATTAAGCTCGCCAGCACCACTTCCGAGACACAGCTCTGCATGAGACGAGAGCAGGATGGAGCGTGCGCCTGTGCAGCGCCCCCCCTCGAAGCTACAAGACCCTGGACAGGGGACCACTGTCGCAGAATTACGCGCGTGCGCGGTCCGCTGACATACCAAGACTGTGCAGACGAACGCTTTTTCCGTCGGCGGCGAGGCGGGACGATCCGCTCCAGCGTGGCAGCGATGCAGGGGCACTGCAAAGCGAGTTGGCCGACATGCAGGCGGAGGGGAAAGGAAAGGAAGGGCGGCCGCGGGGAAGGAGGGAAGGGCGAGCACTCAGAGGCGGAAGACTTCCGCCATGAGCAGCCGGGGCGGCCAGCGGGCGGCGAGGACCATGCAGACGAGCACACGATGAATTGTAGCCACGCGGCCCACCTGCTTGATTCATATTACGAAGCGCTCAAGGCCGACCGTAGCACTGCCTGAGAGGAGGAAGAGGAGGAGGAGGAGGAGGAGGAGGAGGAATCAGGTCTGGATCCGGATGGATGTATGTTTCTACATGTTTGGGATTTTTCGGTCGCAGAAAGAAGCGGGATGGGATGGGATGGGATGGGTTGGGATGGGATGGGATGGGATAGGATGGGATGAGGATGAGGATGAGGATGATGATGATGGTGATGATGATAATGATGATGGTGATGATGATGATGCTGATGATGATGATGCTGATGATGATGATGATGATGACGTTTGTTATTATGTTTCTGCTGCTGATGGTGATGATGATGATGCTGATGATGATGATGATGATGGTGATGATTATCATGAGGAGGCGGAGGAGAAGTCCAGAGGCCTCGATCAGGGGGCCTTCTCCGAGGGCGACCGGATGAATCCGGAAAGCCCCCCTTGCCGCCACCGCCGCCACCGCCGCCGAAAACGACGCCGAAAACGACGCCGACGACGACGCCGACGCCGACGCCGACGCCGACGCCGACGACGACGACGACGACGACGACGACGACTGCGAGCCCGCCCCGCGGCGGGGCCTCGCGCAGACGCCGCCCTGGCACTCCGCGCCTGTCCGGGTGCCTGCCCGCTGGAGGCGGTCCTGGGGACTTCGGCCGCGCGGGGGGGGCGAGTCGGGGACCAATCCGCGCCCTCGGGCCCCTGAGGTCACCGAGGTCCTGGGGCCTCAAGTCGTGAAGGCATATGCACCGATCCTGGGTCCAGGATGGGCCTTGCCAAGATCGGTGCATGTGCACATTTCTCTTCGCCCGATCAAATCGTTTCCGGCCGGGCGTCTTCGCCCACTTTGAATCGGGCCACAGGGCGACCCGGCGCGAGGAAAAAGAGAGTGGCGCAGAAAGACTTTGGGCCTGGGGCTCTGGACGTGACTCGCTGCTGTGCGTCAAGGCTCGCGCCGAAACGGACCTCAGGGGCGGGGAAGCCCTGGCGGCCTCCGCCCCTCTCCCCTCCCATACAGTCATCGGCCTGACCTAAGGAACGATAAATACGGAAAGAAGCTCCTTTTTCATCCCAAGGAATAACGCATCAGGAACGACAAGTAATAGATAGCGCATAAGAAACTGTAAAGAACGCATGCAAGCCTAAGGAACGACCGAGCCCCTTTTGAAAAGCAAGTGCTCCTTATTCAAGCCGCTCACTGTACCTCCAACGCCCCGAGACCCCCGCACGATCACAACCTCGAACCTCGACTCCCGCCGAGGGGCCGCCGAGAGGGCGCCGAGGGCCACTAATTACGGGGGGGCCGCCGAGGGGTCGCCGAGGGCGGCCGGGGGGGAATGCCCAAGGTGCCGATGCCGCTGGCCTCCCGCCTGAGCGGTCGTCGTCGTCCGCCTGCTTCGCCCCTCTTCGTCCCCCTTCCGCCGGGCAGCACGGCCTGCCCGGGACCAGCGTGGCGTGTGTATATATATGTATATGTATGTATATATATATACACACACGCACAACCGAGGCTCTGCGCAGAGGCGCAGAGCGGGTCGCGCGTGGCAGTGCCTGGTCACAGAGGTGACCAGCGCTGCGGGCGATGCCTCGCCGCGCCCGTGGTGCCGCAGGATGGCTATAACATGTTATAGACGCCTCACCTGAAGCCTGATGGGGTTGAGCGATGTCAAAATACACACACACACACACACACACACACACACACACACACACACACACACACACACACACACACACGTACGTGCATGGTTTTCTCTTTACACGGCGCAGCGATGCTGCGGCAGGAATGGGCTGTAGCTGCCCCTGCGGAGCTCCCCGGACCTCTCATGGGGTGCGTTCTGACCAGGGTTTCGCGAGGCGAGTCCAGCGGCAGCGACGAGGGCCTGCCAAGAAGCCCAAGAAGGCGAACACGAGGGAAGGGTATACAGTCAACCCGCATAGAAAGGATGGGCAACCTTCCCAGTGGTATCCTTGCATCCTTGCATCCTCGGCCCATCCGTGGCCACTTTCGTCGGCCGCGCCCCGCTCGAAAAACTTCGAAACGGTCTTCCAAGGCCCTTGGATCCGCATCCTGCATCCTTATGATACGGGTCGACTGTAGCGGTATGGGTATCTCTTCCTCCTCGGAGATGGGCCGCAGAGGGGCCAGCGATGGGCCGCCGGCGGGCCGCCGAGGGGCCGCCAGGGGGGCCGCCGAGTGGCAGCCGAGAAGCAGCCGAGCCGCAGTCGAGGAGCAGCCGAAAGCCTCAGAACTCCGCCGTCGTGACTTTTGCTCACGTCGTCGATCCCCAGAGGTCTGGACACCTTCCCCGGGACCATGCTCATCCCGATCAGCAATCTTTTGACGGCCTCCCGCTGCCTGTCGAGGGCCTCCGAGAGGCCGACCCCCCCCCCAAAAAAAAAGCTTCCCATCGCATTTTTTCCGCTACGCGAGCATGCCCACTCAAAATCGGTCCCTGGACCCCTGCTGGATTCCATCCGGTAGAAGTAGTAGAAGAAGGGAAGGAAGAGAAAGGAGAATAATAAAACATAATTATAAGCAAACCTACATAAACATAAACTTTTGGCGCTCCGCGTGGATTTCTTGGATCTGCGCTGGACCCCCCTCCCTGACGCGCGGAGCGCGCCAGGGGCGGCACCGGAGGTGGCGCCGGGGGGGGGGGGCAGCGCGGAGCGCGGACCCAGAACATGCGCGCGGAGCGCCCAATTTTTAATGTTCATGACGTTTTGTCTTTTTCGATCCTCCACAAGGACGAATATCGACACAGGTGGGTGCCCGACCACAAGAAACTGCCCACAAGAGACCCAACCCTGAGACCCCAGGACGTCCACTGATCTTTGGCGTGGGAACGTCGCGCCTTCCACAGCAAGACCACCGAAACCCGAGAAGCCCGCGGCACCCTGGAGGCAAGCAGGGTGCTTCTTGGCATGGGCCTGCACTGAAATGAAGGGGCCCCAGGACACGCAAATAAATACATACTAATAAAACTATTCCCATACTCTCCTACATTTCCTGGGTTTCTGTCTTCCCCCCCACTCTTCATGTTTTCCAATATTTTCAGGGGAATCGAAGATGAATTGTGTCTGTGTGTTTCTTGTCCTCCTGATGAAAGGAGGACCGCCGTTGTCCCAACGGGCCCTCCTTACCAGCCTGGAACATATTCCTATCCTTATGCTGGGCACCTCCCCATCGCGATGCCAATCTTAGGGATTTCCTTATTTTTTGAAAGCGAACCCCTAAGATTGTCATCGCCTTTTGGCGTGTCAATCTTAGGGGTAGGGATACGTTCGAGGCTGGTAACCTCCTCTCCGAGGCCGAGGGCCGCCGATTGGGCGGCCGCCGGCGCGTCCAGGTACGCCAGCGCGAGCGGCAAGCACGCCTCCGAGGCGCCGGCCCTGTCCAGCAGCAGCGCCGGCAGCTTGGCCACGGGCAGGCTGGCGCGGGGCGCAGGCCAGCGCGGCCACCGCACCGCCGCCCTCCCAGGATCCCCACCCCCGTTTTCCTCCTCCTCCTCCTCCTCCTTCTCCTCCTCCTCCTCCTCCTCCGCCTCCTCCTCCTCCTCCTCCTCCTCCTCCTCCTCCTCCTCCTCGTCGTCCTCCTCGTCGTCCTCCTCCTCCTCCTCCTCCTCCTCCTCCTCCTCCTCCCCCTCCTCTCTCCCTCCTCCTCCTCCTCCTCCTCCTCCTCCTCCTCCTCCTCCTCCTCCTCCTCCTCCTCCTCTTCCTCCTCCTCCTCTTCCTCCTCCTCCTCCTCCTCCTCCTCCTCCTCCTCCCCCTCGTCGCCGTTGCCGCCGGCGTCGTCCAAGAGCGTCAGAACAGATTCTCATGGAAGTGATAAAGGACCACACAAAGAAAACCGCAGGGGGCGTGAGGAGCCCGAACACACTCATTGCCACCAGCCGTTGCGCCGGAGACCTCCTCAAATCTCCCCTGATTTACTCAAGAATCGTGTTGGCACCTCCGTGCCAGCTATACTTTCGGCTTGCCACGATCCCTTACAAAATAATTTCAAACACTACGGTGCACATGGCCGAACTCCCACCCCTGCCACACGGCCACGACACGTAGTAAACAATACACAAATGCCCACTTGGCTGTGCGTTCACGCTGTCACGCGGCCACGTTGCAAAAACGCTACGGGTACCGTGGCCTTGTTCTCGCACGTTGCACGGTCGCGATCTCTTCCTCAAAATACGTTACGGTGCACATGGCCATGTTTTCACCCCTGTTACACGGCCACGATCCATGGTAAAAACACTACGGTGCATACATACCCTTTTCACGCCTAGGAATCCCCAGGAATATTTGAGAATGCGCGTTGTCACTAACCGACCTCCTATCTTTCGATCCACTTCTACACCTTTGCTGCTATTCGGGCGCTTCTGGGGCAGCGCGCCCTAGTTAATAAAGTTTCGCTGAGAGGTTCTCGCTACGGTAGACGGAGCACCAGAAGAGCCCCACAAGAGGACGGGGAGCCAGAGAACGCGGGTGCCACCAACCTTTCGCCGGAGACTTCCTCGCAAATTATGAGCGAGCAAGAGCGCGCGCGTCGATTTTCCTCGACGCCGTCGCCGCCTCGGCCAGCGCGGGCGCATTCTCGAATGGCCGCGTCGCGCGGCCGTTGGGACAACCCCGCGGGCCAGGCCGTTGGGGCAACCGCGCGAGCCGCTGGGGCGCGGGAGCAAGCCGTTGGGACAACCCCGCAGGCACCGAACTAGTCACGGCCGCGCTCAGGCGGGAGGCAGCACGAAACCAAGCTCTGCGGCGAGCTGCTCGGCCTCATCCCTGGACCCCCGGCCCGGACGCAAGGGTTCCCCCCTGCGCCCGATTCGGCTGCTGAGAGCTGCGTTTTTTTTCCGGGTTGAAAGGTTTTTTTTTTCGGGTTGGCGTGCTGCGGAGGCCCCAACCCGAAAAAAAACCCAACCCGAAAAAAAAACCGGATGGCGAGGTTTTTTGTTATGGGTTGGGAGGGCTTTTTTCGGGTTGGGAGGGTTTTTTGGGGGGTTGTTTTTTTTTTTCCGGGTTGTAATGGTTTTTTTTTCGAGCTGGGCTCTGGAAATTGAAGGATTCAAGGGAGGAGCTCTCGTAGTGCCTCGTCGTCGTCGTCGTCGTCGTCGTCGTCGTCGTCGTCGTTGTCGTCCGCTGTCGCCGTTGCCGTTGCCGTCGCCGTCGCCGTCGCCGGCGCCGTCGCCGTCGCAGTTGTCGTCGCCGCTGCAGTTCAAAGTGCACCAAAGTGGGCAAGGAGAGGAGGGTGCACAGGGTGTTGAGCTCTTCTCGATATCATGTTGGAGCATGTTCGTTCTCCTCCTCGCTCTCCTCGCCCGTCTCCTTCTCATCCGCCTCCGCCTCCATTCTTCTTTTTCTGGCCCTCCTGCTCTCTTCTTTTCTCCATCTTCTTGTGCTGTTGATGCTGCAGCTGGTGTTGGTGCTGCTGCTGTTGCTGCTGCTGCTGATGTTGCTGCTGGTGTGGCTGCTGTTGGTGCTGCTGCTGATGCTGCTGCTGCTGCTGGTGCTGCTGCTAGTGCTGTTGCTGGTGATGCTGCTGCTGATGCTGCTGCTGGTAGTGCTGCCGCTGGTGCTGCTAGCGTTGCTGCTGCTGTTGCTGATTGTGCTAATGCTGCTGCTGGTATTGCTGCTGCTGGTGTTGCTGCTGGTGGTGCTGCTGCCGTTCGCGCTGTTCCTGGTGTTGGTGGTGTGGCGGCTGGTGCTCCTGAGGGCCTCTCGTGGGCGCTGGAGCATCTTTTTAGGCCATCTTGGAGAATATCGATCAAAGGGGTTGGAGCATTGGATTTCGCCGCTCCCCTCAGGAGCCTTCAAAATCGTCTCTTGGAGCCCTCATGGAGCTCTTGTGGAGTCTTGGCATCTCCTTGGGGCTCTTTGGGGGGATTGTGGATTTCTTCATGGCCGCGCTCCTGCCGGCGACCTCAGCGCATTACGGAGACCACTTGTCTCCAGGGCGAGTTCCGACGCCACTGCCTGACATATCACTCGGTCCTTGTGCTTTTCTCTACGCAGGAAAATCCGGCCTTGTAGATAGTTTTTCAGTCTACCCGTTCATCGGACCACAAGGCCGCCAGTCTACCAGTCCGCCAATCTACTAGTGTGCCAGTTCACCGGTCCGCAATTCGTATATTGAGTATCGTCGTCATCGTCCCGTGATCTTGATGCACACCTCCACCATCAGAATGATCATCACCATTACTATATGTTTCACGTTATTGTTCTCAGCAGGACGAGGGGGAGGAAGGTAAAGGAGGAAGGCGAGCAAAAGGGCCAGAGGCCTCTTGGATGTCTCTCAGAATATCTTGGGAGACTCCTGGGTGTTTCTCCGATGCCTCTGCGAGCGTCTTGGGGGTTTCTTGGGCCCAGAAGGCTGGTGGGATTTAGAGGGCGTCGGAGTAGGGTGCCCAGACCATGCAGAGTTTGCCACGCAGCGGTGGCGTGGGCAATTGTGGAATCTCTTGTAAATCACGTAGCATACACCGCGTAGCTTGCATCGCAAAACTTGCACCACATGGCTCGCACCACAGCTCCCACCACCTAGCTACCAAACATAGCGCGCACCACACAGCTTACAACACAAAGCTCACACAACGGAGCTTCCGCGTACAATGTTGAATAACTCATTGTTCAGGGTCTACGTTGGCAAACATTTGAGAGAGAGTGGGTCTTTCGGGGAACATGCCTGGGCGGCGCCCCCGTGGCCACCTCCAACCGCTGCGTGGTGGTTATTGGCGACTTTGAAAGCATGTTGGAGGACATGTCGGTCGGACATGGTTGTGCCGTACACTAGTGGAGTAGATTATGTCGATCCTCCGGTTGGCCGTGGCCATAGTGGCTCGAGGACGTTCGGGGCAGACCCAAGGCGATCACGTTAACTCACGCTGGAGCTCATTGGACACAGACATGGCGTCTCATGAAGCGCAAGCGCAATTCAAGCGCACCCGTCGCGGTCGTCGTGGCCGCCGGCTTTCTCGTAGCCCGGAGATGCGACATGACGACACTGGGCAGCCGCAGGCATGGGAGTTGCCCGTCGAGGGCTTGGCCGGCAGGATCCCAGAGGGGTTCGTGATGAAGAATACTTTCTTGCACCCTGTCGACGAGTACGACACGTCATGTGTGTGGGACAATTCGAGCTGCGTCAGCCTCAGACGGTGGCGGTCTGGATTCATGTTTGTCGTCTCATTGAACCGCAGGGAGGGTTCGTTCGATCATTCGTGCTTGCGTGCAACACCGTCGGAATCGTCTTCTGGGAGGCGCCGATGCATTTTCCTGAGGCCTTTTCGAAGTGCGTTAGGGCTGTCGCGGTTAATGGGGTGCGGCAGCGGGCGCTTTGCGTGCTGACCGCGCGAGGCGATCCCGACCAGATCGGACACGGTCACCCGCGACCGTGCTCGAGGGATCTTGGATTCAATCGGCCCTGTATGATCGGTGTCGATCGGAGCATCGGTGCGGTTGGCGATGATGCGTCCAGAGATGCAGGACGCTAGCAACAAGAGAGGCCGCACTGTCGGTCGCCCGATCGCGACTAACCTAGGGACATATGAAATGTTGCCTCGTTGTGAATATAGAACACTTGTGCGGACATGCCCAGGTCCTGGTCGCATGGAGGACGCGACATCCCGGGAGGGCGATGACTCGGCCGCCGTTCTTGAGAACGCTGCGTGCGGACGGGAACGCCTGATCGAGGAGTCGGTCGGCGGGATTCCAGAGGGGTCTGTGGTGAAGAGTGCCTTCCTACACCCTGCCAACGAGCACGACACGTCGCGCCTGTGGGAGACTTCGAGCTGCGTTGGCCTCAGACGATGGCGATCTGGATTTGCGATTGTCGGCTGGCCAAACGGCGCTGCGGAATCGTTCGATCATTTTGGCCTGCGCACTCAGTCTTCGGGCTGTCACTCGAAGGGCGCGGCTGCATTTCCCTGAGATCAATGCGATCAATGAAGTGCGATCGCGGGCTCGTTCTGTTGGCCCCGAAAAGTGATCCCGATCAGATTGGACGCGTCCACCCGCAACTCAGCCCGTCGGGCGTTCGTGCAATCGGCCCTGGCTGACCGGCGTCGATCGAGTTTTTGGTGTGATGGGCAGTGATGTGTCATAGGCGGCGAAGGGAACCAGTCCGCAATCTCGGTCGTCCGATCGCGATCAAGTTAGCGACAGATCAGATGTCAGTCGGTGTCGAGATGCAGCAGTAGCTCGGGCATGCTCAGGTCCTGGTCGCATGGAGGGCATGACGTTCCAGGAGGGCGATGACGTGGGCGATTTCCTTGGGAACGACGCACGCTCGGCGCGCTGCGGGGAGCCAACTCCACATCTACATGAGCGCTGTGCTGGAGGCGCTCCCACCGAGGAGGTTGCAGCGCACGTCTGCTACACGCTGGAGTCATCGAATGCTCTCCTTCTCGACATCGACGAGAAGATGGCTAGCGCGTCGACGGTCGACTGGCCCGATTCGACGGCGAGCTCATTCCCGGCAAAGCAGATGGAGAACATGCACGCGGACGCCGCTGTTCGAGCAGCCCAGCCCGGAGAAGAGGCAGACATGGCTCTGACTGCGGCGCGGCAGTGGGGGGACGCCGCCTGGCACATCCGATACTTCTTCAAAGCTCGGCCGAGAGTTGTTCTGCCGAGCGCGGCGCCCCCGTGCGATGCTGGCGCGCGCGCGCGTCGCCCCTCGACGGGCACGCGTCCGCGTCGGAGCTGCGCGGAAGCTCCGAGCAAGCACGCGTGCTCGAACGCGCGGGGAGCTTCGGTGACGGCGCCCTGGCGCAGGCGGTGATGGAGCGCGGGGAGGCGCTCGAGGGCGCGTTGCACAGTGGCGCCTTCGAGTACAGTCGCGCAGGAGGGTACTGCGCCGGCGACGCCATTGTCCAGGAACGAGCATTTCACGTTCAGTTTGCCGTCATGCGCGAGCACCTTGTTCTCCCGCTGTGGGCCGATGAGCAGGCCGCGCGCGAGGTTGTGCTCTACCACGTATGCAGGCACATGCGCTGCGAGGAGTTTCTCCAGGCCGTGGGGTACTTGGAGAGCAGCAGTGGCCGGCGCCCTGCCTTGCTCCGGGATCTTCTCTCCGAGGAAGCGGCGGCGAGGAGGGCTTGTCATGTGGTGCGGGATCCGAACCTCGCATGGAATCCGTCGGGCGTCACTGTCCATCACCAGTGCGCCGGCGATGGGCGATTATCTGGAGGCGGCAGTGACGGCGACGCTCGGGGTCCCATGTTCGCAGCTTCGGCATCCGGCTCTGGGGCTCGCAAGCGGATGAAAGGGAAGCAACCGATGTGTCTCGGCAACTATCTGGCTGAGGCCAGCGCGGAAGCGGGGCAAGCCGCCTGCGCGGATGCAAAATCAGGCGTCAGTGATGAGGCGCCGATTGAAGAGGATGGCGACAGCGCCGCGGGCGGCATTGCCTCGCTCGACGCACTGCAGACAGCACGAGGCACATTCCCGAACCCGACTAAGACGACGTGCTATCTTGCATCCGCACTGCAGTGTCTACACAGCCCGCCAGCATGGCGCGCTTGTGGGGACGCATGACGCCCATGAAACGTGCGAACCAAAGCATTGCGCATGGTGCGCAATGCGTAGTGCAGAGGCCGCCACGAGAGGTCACGGGAACTCCACGGACCTCTTAGAATTCGCGGACTTCTTCGACAATGCGGTGCACGACGGTCGCGGGAAAGTGGAGTGGGAATTTAGGACTCGGCAACATGATCCCGTGGAGGCGCTGGAGGCGATCTTCAACGACGCCCGGCAGCGCCTGGGTCAACAGAACACCTCGATGGCGCACGCACTGGCGCACGCACTGGATGGCATTCTCGGGCTACACGTGCGCGAGGATCTGTGGACGACCGGAGATTGCCAGTGCCACCGTGACTATTGTTCGACTTCCCACGACTCGCAGCACCACATTTTCACGATCACTGTTGCGGGCCTCGTAGAGGAGGTCGCTGTTTCGGCAGACGAGACAAGCCTGTACCATCTAATCGAGCGCATGGGCGATCCAGAGAAAGGCATCGTCGTGGATCGCCCGCCATGCGCGAAGTGCGGTCGTCCAGTCGACAGCTGCAAAAGTTCCTCCACTGTGAGTGCTCAACCACTTGTGCTACTTGCGCTGAACCGCACCGAAGTCGCAGTCCGCGACTTTGCTCGACCAGCAGGGTGGGAAGAAGGCAAGGGGCAGGTTGTTCGCCAATCGATGGGGAGGGCGACGTCGTTCCAGGGGGGGAAGAATCGCCTCCGAGTTGTCCCGAATCAGGTTCTCGAATTTGGGTCGCAGTATTTTCTGCGCTGCGTGGTCGTTCACAAGGGCGGCACTCCAGAGTCGGGCCATTACGTTTGCTACGTCCGGCACGAGTTGGACTGCAGCTGGTTGCGTTACGACGACGATCATTGCGACGCAGTTCATGCTGCTTACCCGGACGAGATCGTGCAAGACGGGCGGCTGTTCTTCTACTCCAAGGAGTCCTCCGGACTAGTTCCTCGAGTTCTTCGACAATCATCGACTCCTGCTGGTCATGGAGACTCCGACGTGGAAAGAGCGGCACCGCTGCCAGGGAGCAGGCCTCGCGCCGATGCCGCCGGCGGAGTTGCGGGCGCGAGCTCGCGAGCGCCGACGCCCGCGCAGCCCGCTCCCTCGCTGCCCAGTGCAGACGCCAAATCCGAAGATGTCCCGAGCAAGTTGCCTGACGCGCAGGATCGGACAACGATGCTACCAGACTGCGGCCCGGACAGACTCCAGAGCGACACTGCCAAACTACTGGATGTGCACACGGCGAAGCGCCGGGAAGGAGTGCACGCGGCACAGAAGGCGGTGGCGCAATTCTTTTTGACGCTGCCGCAGTGGATGCACGGCTTTGGCAAGCCGGAGACGTTGCAGACCATTGGCCGCCGGTTTCATGGCTTTGTGCAGTCTGTGTTGAAGGACAAAGTGAATTCAACAGCCGCGATGGCAGTTCGCCAGTACCTCGGGAATTGCGTGTTCTACCCGTTCGTGGTGCTCCTGGAGGCGACGGCGAAAGCAACCGCCCTGCCAGCCGTCTTCTTGCAGGACTGCGCTGGGGCTGTCATGATGAGCGCCGTCAACAAGGAGTGCGAAGTCCACATGGGGCGGTACAATATGCAGAAACCGCTGGTGGAATTTGTGCACGGCGAACGTCGGAGACGGGAAGTCCAAGGCCGTGGACATGCCCATGGAGTGCATGATCGAGGCGATGGGCGACGTCGGCGGGCAATGCACTGTGGGGGCCCAAGCAGATCGGTATCAGTACCAGCAAGGAGGAACGAATGCGTCCGCAGTGGACCGCTTCCGCTTCTGCGACGGATATCTTGCCATCGTTTGCTCAAAGACGTCTCGCATCCTCGCGCCGGGCCAGGCAAAGGGCCCCCCCGTCGACGAGGGCAAGTACATCGACATTACGAAGTTCCTGGACGCGGCACACGGCGCTGAGTTCAGCCACCAGAACATGCGGCAACGGGAAGTTTTTGCGAAGCAGGCGGCGAAGAAGCACAAGCACCCGCATGATGCAGCCACGCCCCCTGCGGGCGTTCACATGAAGAAGACGAACATGCACGTGATACTCATGCAGCAGGAGGTCATTTTCATGGATTGGTGGTGTCCAGTGGGAGCTCCGCAGCGGTGCATGCTTTCCTTCGCGGCCGTTGCGGGGCGCGCTCAGATGATGCACAAGAACTTTCATCTCGACTTGACGGTGCCTTTTCTGACTCAGCTGTACTCTCTGCTCTTGCGCAGCGTGGGCCCGAAAGTGGTGGGGAAGCTGGACCACTTCAAAATTCAATGCTCTGACGCGCAGGACAAGGTCGTGGAGGACGTCGACGAGATCCTGCAAATGTTCAAAAACGAGATGCCCATCAGCAGGAAGTGCATGAAGGAAGGGCTACCGAAAGGCATGTATTGGCTTGGCACGATGCTCATGTCCAACCACTTGTTGGAACAATTGTGCCCGGCTGTCTTCGGGAACTTCGCCATGGATCCAGAGTGCGCGGAGAGGTTGAATGGGAAGGTCCCAAAGGTGTCCACGTCAATCTCGGACGGGGCCTTCGTCGCCTCGGTGAATGCCGTGTGCCACAAATATTTGTACGGCCTAGCCGTTCTCGCAGTGTCCGTCGAAGAGAAAGTCTGGCTCGGGCGCCGCGCGGAGCCGGAAGGGATGTCGGAGCAGACGCGCCTTCTGGTGCGCGCGCTGCGCGCCACGCCGAACTCCTCCATCACGCTGGCTACCATTATCTAATGACCTTGGGTCCATCCTGCCACCGTGCCCGAGTTGTGGATCAGAGGGTTCTGGAGTGTTCGTCGGGATCTAGTGATTGGTCTCGCGTGGGCCTCGTGGAAACAGTTCTGAGGCTGGTGCGGTTGTTTTGGAGCTTCTTGGCGCTTCTTTAGGGTCCTCTAGGGTATCTTTCTGGGGCTCTCGTGGGAGCCTCCTGGGGTCTCTGACAGTTTCGCGGCAGCTTCAGAGTGCCGATAGCTGGAAATGTCTGTTCGGGCTTCCCGACTTTGGTTGTTCTGCGACGCCTCATTGGGCCGTCTGCGACGCCTCTTGGGCCGTCTCGGGGGCCTATTGGGCCGTCTCTTGGGCGCCTCATGGGCCGAGGTAGAGCCATTGTGCTGGGCCCGTCTCGAGGATTTCTGGCGCTCGAAAAAGCGATGCGAAAACGCGCGAGGAGCTCCGGGAGAGTTCGGATGAGAGGCCCCGAACTCGGTGGGAATCCTCAGGATTGACGACTGAGGCTCCGGGTATTGGGCAAGGGACCCGGGGACACGTTCACTCCGTTCCTCGCGGCACGGTGGCGGACATCGATAGACTTGCGGCTGAAGCGCGCGCTGCGGTCGGCCCCAGAGTCGGACGAGCGCGAAGAGGCGCTGAGGGTAGCTCAGCGCGTGCTCACAGGTTTGCAGGAGATGGGGTTCGGTGTCTTGGGCACAATGGAAGATGGGAGTTGGTTCCTCAGGAAGTATGACCTTTCGAGTCTCGGTGCTAGTCATACGTTTCTGAGGGACCATCGGATACCAGCCTGGCTCTTTGGGGAGCCGACGAACGGCCACCCCGCAGACTGTCGCGAAGCGCCCCGCAAGGACGGCGCGGTCGAGACGGCGGCGGCTGCGAGAGAGCAGAAGGACAGCAAGCCTGCCGCGAATATTGGGGAGACGGGGGCGGGGAAGTGCGCCGCGGCAGCGCCAGAGGCGCCGCGCCGAAGCAGCGTGGCCAAACTGATTTCAAGAGAGGCGGGTGCTCCTGCGGTGCCGCCGCCGCCTGCGTCGATAGAGCCGCCCGTTCTGATGATGGTAGAAGGGCACCCTCGCGTCCTACTGCCGCGTGACCGCCCCGCCACGACGAAGGAGGCCCGGGACCGCGTGTGCGGAGCGATGCAGGTGCTAGGAGCGACTGCCGAAGTGAAGGATGTGAAGCCCATTGATACGTCGAGGTGCGTCAGGGCGAAGGCCACTTGCAGAGGTACTCGGGACGTCGCTTGCCCAGTTATTTGGAATGTCGAACGCTTCGCGCACGCCGCCAACCCATGTGAGCGCATCTTAGGTGGAAGGGCCCCAGTTGGACTAGGACAGCCGCGCGCGCTGGGTGCTGAGAACAATCCCCAAAACCTACCCCCGAAGTAGAGTCAGAGCGTGTTAGATTTCTGGAGCCAGACAGGAATCCGCACGGAGCTTTGGGGCGCGCTAAGCGACCGGTGTGGCCAGGAGGGACCGATCGAATCGCTCGCCGGCTCCGCTCCGTTCGCGTCGGGGAAGGGGGAGGTGGCACAGGAGTTCCTGCGCTTGAAAACTGTGGCCAGATGAGTTGCGCCTGACCGCTCGGGGCCCGGTAGGGGCGGCGGACTACACGTACTATAAGTTTCCGGAAGCGGGCCTAGACGCCCACGCCGAGCTGCTCGTGCAAGTCCGTGAACACAGCCACAGTGCGGATGCAGACGCGAACTCTGGCAATATATGGAGCCCAGACGTCGAGGTGGCAGCGCAGAGATGGATGCGGGAGGTAGCGAAACCCTCGCGCCAGGGTCTGCAAACGTATTTGGTCAGTCAGAAGTTCCAAAACCTTCCGCACATCGACAGGATTGGCGGCTGGCTGAAAAGATTTCAGCTGAAACTAAAGGCAGAGAAAACGAAGGGTGGAGAGGACGTGGATAAAGCAGCAGGCGCTGGCATGTTGAATTTCGCAGAGGCGAAGACTTTGGAAGAGTGGAGAAACCCAAAAAAGATCGCACCGACCACTTTGCAGATTCGAATCCCACCAGTTCCAACCATGGCGGGGCGACTGTGCATCTGTTTTAGTTGCGACAAGATGGTGGAGGTGCTGACGCGGTATGGCGACTTCGCGCTGCACCTGGGCGTGGACGTGAAGCAGGGGGCTATGTCGGGGCAGGCGGGCGCGGCCACGATCAGCTTGCAGGCAAAAGACAAGCTCCGCGGCACCACGTTCACAAAGGGAGACGGTGCGGTCCAAGGGCGAGTGCAGGGCAGGGCGTGCACGACGCACGGAGTGCCGCTCCTGCAGGCTATCTTTAACACAGAAGAGGCTCAGAATTCAATCGATTTCTTTCGTTGCCTGGGGATCGTGCGCGACAGCGCCATCCGCGACCGATCCTTGCGAGATCGCGTCGTCGCAGTGCACAGTGATGTCGCGCCTGGCATTGAGGCAGCCAGGAAAGTTGTGTTCCCGAAGTCTCAACCTGCGAAAGACCAATTCCATTTCGCCCAACACACAGGCTTAAAGACTACAGCAAGCGGAACTCTCGCGAAGAAGATGAAGCATCGCAGGCCTGCTGGCCAGACGGGCAGCTACGAGCTCACCAACCTCGGCTGGACTGTGGCAACCCTCAACGCATTGCGGCGGATCCCAACGCTGGACTGTGCTTCCACGCTGTATGAGGGCTTCCTGGCGCGCTTAGAGCATGAGTTCGACGAGCAGGAAGCCGCCGCCTACTTGGGCCCGAAAAGTCGCGGCCCGCAGAAGTATACCATTCGGGCGACAGCGCGGGGAATGAGAGAGGAGTACGACCTGCGATGCTACAACGAGGACGAGTCCACGACAATGTTGTTCTGCCCGAACTGGTCGGGCACGGGCGTGCTGACGGCTGGCTACGAGGGGAGCTCTGTGGAGCCAATGCATTCACCGTGGGAGAAAGCTCGGAAGGACGCAGCATCATGAGACCAATCCTCATCTCCGCTGGGACAGCCTTGGCCCCGCTGTCCGATCTCCCTACTCAGACGGGGATAGACGCTTGTCTGTCGGGTTGAGCGGCATCCATCCTGTCTGCCTAGGCGGGGATACACGCTCTCTCCGTCGGGGTGAGCGGCATCCATCCCCACCTGGAGGGAGCACGGCCGGGGGCCCGAAGGAAACCTGCCCCGCTGGGGATGGGGGTAGGCCAGACGATGCTGAAGGAGGTCGCAGTACTGGCCGCAAAGTACTCGCCCCTCAGGATCCTACAGCAAATGCAATACCTGTACGACACTTCTTTCGGGAAGTGGTATTTGTGGGACGAGGGCCCCGACGACAAAATGCAGCTGCGCCCGCCCGCGTCGGACCCCGCTTATTTGAATGGGGCATCTCTGATCGCTGCCGGCAGATCTCATGCTCAAGCATTGTGGGAAGCGTCTCAGACGGAGACAGTGCACGCCGTGGTTCTGGAGGGAGCAGGAAAAGCGCCCAAGCACTTCGACATCAACGTGATGCAAGTTGTCGCTGTGGTCATGAACGTGAAGACGAAGCTCGTGGTGGAAGATACCGAGCATGGGGCAGGTGCATTGTTCTCCTCTGGTCTTGAGTTACAGCATCGCCTCGAGGCGGCTGGCGTCCTAACACAATGCAGTCGGCCATCGAACAGGAGGCGCAAGTATCTCGGCACGCAGGTGGGCCGCGTGAACGCCGTGTTCAACGACATTGCTTACGTCATACTTTCTTCTGATACCCGCATTTTCCGCGCCTGCGCGCGCAGCGCTGCGTGCACGTGCAAATGGTTACGTCGCCACGCCGGGTGCGAGCACGTGGAGTATGCATCGATGCTCGCGCTGCGCTTGCAGAAGCAGCCAAAGTACCCGAACCCTCAGGAGCTGCCCCGGACGCGACCGAGGGGCCGGAAGCGCGGCTCGGTTTTGGTTGTGCCACAGCAGACCACAGGCAAGAAACGCAAAGTGGAGTGATCCGAGTAAAGACATGGCGCAGGGTGCCGCCTGGCAAAGCCAGAGCGATGCGCAATGTCAGTCATGCCCTTGCCGTGCATTTGTTGCGCCGCAGGATGCGGGAAAAAATGCTTCGTCAAGCAGCGTCGTTGGGGATGCAGAACCCAACCGCAAGAGTTCCATTTCGCCAGTCCCTCGTCGCCGATTCCGTTCGCCGGAGCCCTTGTTCGCCAGAATCTCCGTTCGCTAGGTTCCCGTCCACCGGAATGTTCGTTTTCGGGGAGTCCTCGTTCACCAGTGCCCCGTTCGCCAGTTCTCGTTCGCAGGGGGGTCATGGGCGCGTGTCTGGATTTCGGTTTTCGACCTGGAGGTGCTCGGCATGGGCTCTGGTCTCCCGGGTCTGAACCACGGGGGGGGTGCTCCTGGATCCGTTGGCTGTTGTCGCGCGCTTTGGTCTCTGAGAGTTCGTGGCCGCCGGGCGAGGGCCCGGCCTCCATGAGTGCGCGCGGACGGGGGGGAATAGAAGAGGATGCGACGGACGCTTGACGGCGTCCTCCTGTTGCCCAATGCAAGCAAGATGATGCGCGCATGTCGTCCTCCATAGCATCGGGCTCAAGCCAGGCGGTGTACCGCGCACCTGGGCGGGGCCGATGCCCGGGCGCGTTGCCCTACCATTGTACGAATGCGAGCCGAGGTTTCTGGCGCGGCAGGAAATATTCGAACGGGCAGGGTTCGACCGTCTGAAGCTGTTGCATCGGCTGGGAACCTCGCCGCCCACGCCTGCAAATCCTAGTATCTTGGAATACGATGCTGACCCTGTAGCAGACACTGTGGGGCACTTTGTGCTACGCCTTGCGCTCAGCACAGTGGGTCCCCTGAGCCAATGGCTTGTGACGCGCGAGGTGGTTCTTCTGCAGCAGCGATGGGCCAAGTTGGCGCGAGTGGAGCACGATGGAGCCTTGAGTTTGCTGGGTATCACCCTCGGAGAGGAGCGCCCGGGTCTGTCCAAGTACCAGCTGCCGTTCACACAGGTGCCACCGCGCTGGGTGGCGGAGCGCCGCGTGGTGCTGAAGCGCGGCGTGGCTCACGTGGCGGGCTGCGACGCTTGCGCCTTGGCGTCGCACCTGTTCGGCGCTCGCCTGTGCGATTCGATGCAGGGCGCCGCCCTGGCGATGCAGAGCCGGGAGCACCATCCCCCGATTGAAAATGCGATGCCGCTGCTGGAGAGGTTACGGCGCCATGCTGAAGGTCTTCTGACGCCGCCCCCTGCGACCTCGCCAAGATTGTCGAACTGGTCTATTGTGGGCGACGACGTTGGTCTAGCTCTGGATAACTTTGAGGAAATGAGGATGTCGTTCCCCCCACGCATGCAGCACGTGATCCTCCACCAGCGCACAGGGCGGCGGTTGCGAATCCAGGGCCTGCCGCAGTTGCGGCCCTTCTTGCGGAAGGCTGGGCTGGACCTCCCAAGCGCGCTGCGGTGGTTTGAGACGGAGCTGCGTCGCGACGAGCACGTTACCGAGGAAGTCTTCGAGAGGGAGCACCGGTGCCAAGTAGAGCACGCCTACGGCGCCCGCGGCCACGGGCGCGGCGCGCATCCGTTCGGGCGCGCCAGCATCCAGAGGTTCCCGCTCCCTGAATCCGGCCATGTCCATGGCTGCCCGTTTCAGCGCGGGCACGAGAGCCCGTATAACCTGGCCACATTGCTCGGGCAGCTTGGCGCAAGAGGAGGTCGATGCCGTAGTCCGCGCGGCGCGAGAAGGGCCCCATTTTCGCGCTTGCGCGTTTTTTTTCGGCGCGGCGCACCCGTGGACGAGCTGGGGCCGACGTGGGGCCGTCGGGCATCCAAACGATTACCTTCGGCGCAGCAGGATGGCGTGGGCCACGCGCTGGGGTCGCCCCCCCTCTGGCACTGCCGCGCCGTGACCAACGCGCGATGCCAGCTTTGTGAAGCTTGCTGGGGCAAGTCCCCGCGAACCTGCAGGCCCGCCCTGTCCAACCCGCCTTGCTCGCGAGTGGGGCGCCCTATGACAGCGCTATGATTCTCGTATGAAAGAAGCATCCGCCCAGCTGTTGTGCTCATCGCATGCAGCGCCTATGCGGGGCCAGGAACGAACCCCCGCTTCCCTGGTGCCGTTCCGCCACCTTGTCCTGCCCCACATATTATGCCAGCGCTGTTTTTTCCTTGTTATCCTTCTTGTTATCCCCCCCCCTCCTCCGCACCCTTATCCAGCAGTGGGGGCGAGGAAAGCCCCCCATGAGACCCACAGAGCCTCGGCCCTTCAGGTCCGAAGTGTGAACCCGGCATGAACCTCAACATGAATTCTGGTTCCTCTCTGGAGATTCGGGCGCACGACTCACTCGGGCCTGTGAGAGCATGGAGCCATATTGGAGCATCTTCGACTATCGAGAACAATAATCGACGTCATCTTCGGCTCTCTGCGGCTCTCTTGAAGCCGTCTTGGGCGAAAAGGGCCACTCTGACACCTCGCGGGGCGCTCCGCCCAGGTCCAGGGGAAGGGGCGGGGAAGAGAGGTAAACCCATCCCCGAAGCGGAAGAAGGGGGGTGGCAGAGGAAACTCCCCAAAACCACCCACGCGCTACAGGGTCGGTGGGATGGACACGGTAGGTTTCGCGTGTAGTCGACATGGGGTGCGGTGGGCCGCCCACTCCCTCCGCCTCCCTTCTCCGAGGCAACGATAGCGCTGGCGGAGCCGTTCAAGATTGATCACTCCTCTGGGAAACCATTCAAGGTTGAACATTCCCCTGGGGAGTGGGCGAGGGGGCGAAGGGGGCACATGTCGGTCCCCGGGAGCACAGGAAGGAACCCACGGCGCGAAAGCAAGATCGAGGATGGCTCCGAGAGCTGCTTGGGAGTTCCAAGGGCGGATGTCGGGGCTGGGCCCTCACGAGCGGGCGGGCGGGCGGTGGGTCGGGCGGGCGGGGCATTCAAGTATAACGCATATGCACCTGATGACGCATGTACCATGTGACGCGCGTGGAACCCGAACGGACGAAGAACGGATCGGGCAGGCGGGGCTTGAACGGGCGGGCGCGGCAGGCGGCTGGCGGAGCCCGAACGGGGCGGGCGGGCGAGCGGGTCGGGCGGGCGAGACATTGAAAGTATGGCGCAGATGCAAAGTATGACGCGTGTACCAGGTGGCACGCGTGGAACCATAATGCGCGGGCGGCGGGTTGAGCGGGCGAGACTGTAATGGGCGGCCGGGCCGGGCAGGCGACGGGTCCGGCGGGCCGGACATGCAAGTAGGACGCATGTGCGCAGTGTAACGCATGTACCAGGTGGCACGCGTGGAACCCTGACGGGCTAGCGGCGGGTCGTGCGGGCGAGACCCTAACGGCCGAGCGGGTCGGGCGGCGGGCGGGGCCCTCGCGGGCGCACTCGGACGGGCGGGACATTAAAGTATGACGCATGTACACAGTATGGCGCATGTACCAAGTTGCACGCGTGGAACCCTGACCGGCGGGCGGCGGGTAACGCAAGCGGGAGCCCTGACTGGCAGGCGGATCGTGCGGCGGGCGAGCGGCGGGTCAGGCGGGCGGATCGTTAAAGTATAACGCATGTACACATCATGACGCATGTACCAGGTGGCACGCATGGAACCCCCACGGGCGAAAAACGGGCCGGGCAGGCGGGGCCCTAACGGGCGGGCGGGTCAGCCTGCGGGCGGGACTATAACGGGAGGGCGGGTGGCGGGTCGGGCGGGCGGGACATTGAAGCATGGCGCAGATGCCAAGTATGACCCATGTACCAGGTGGCACGCGTGGAAGCATCACGGTCGGGCGGGTCGGGCGGGCGGGACATTAAAGTCTGGCGCAGATGCCAAGTATGACGCATGTACCAGGTGGCACGCGTGGAACCATCACGGTCGGGCTGCGGGTCGAGCAAGCGGACGCTATTGGGCGAGTGGGTCGAGCGGGCGGCGGGTCGAGCGGGCGGGACATTAAAGTAGGACGCATGTGCACATCATGACGCATGCACCAAGTGACGCGCGTGGAACCCTGACGGGCAGGCGGCGGGTCGCGCGGGCGGGACCCTAAGGGCAGGGCGGGTCGGGAGCCGGGCGGGTCGCTAACGGGTTGGGTCGGGCGGGCGGTACATTAAAGTATGACGCGGTAACATAGTATGACGCATGTACCAAGTGGTACGCGTGGAACCCAGACGGACGCGCGGCGGTTCGGGCAGGCGGGAACCCTGACGGGCGGGCGGCTCGGGCGGCGAACGGGCGGCGGGTCGGGCGGGCGGGACATGAAAGTATGACGCACGTGCACATTATGCACATGTAGGAGGTGGCACGCGTGGAACCCTAACGGGCGAAAATCGGGTCGGGAAGGCGGAACCCTAACGGGCGGACGGGTAGGCGGCGGCCGGGACCCTCCCAGTTCTGACTCGAACGGAATGAACCGAACGCCCGAAACGGAACGCCCAAACCCGAGCCCCAACCCCGAATCGTAATACCCAAATACGAACAACGTGACCCGAACATCCGATCCCGAACACCGAAATACGAACCCGAACACCCGAAGTCCAGGTAACCGCGCCGAAATGCCCTGAACCCGGAAGGCCCCAGCAGCCGAAGGCCCGAATGCTCGAACAGTCGGAAACACGAAAATTCGAATACCCAACTCGAGCCACCGAACCCGAGAAAAAAACCTCAGAACCCGCAGAAACCCGAACACTCGAAGTCCAGGTAACCGCACCAAAGTACCCGAGGGCCGAAAGCAAGACAAGCCCGAAACCCTGGACCCGGAAGGTCCCAGCATCCGGAAGCCCGAATGCGTGAACATTCGGAAGCCCGAAGACTCGAATACCCAACTCGAGCAACCCAGCCCGAGAAAATACCCTCGCAACCCGCAGAAAAACCGAACCCGAAAAAAGACCCCCCCAACTCGAAAAAAAACCCGGCCAACCCGAAAAAAA